GCTGGAGAGTTCCGTTGGTCTTGCATTGTCCTGATTCAGTGCTTTGAATAAAAATTGTATTGGCTTGTAGCTTAACGTCAGTACTTTTGGTTATTTCCATGACTGACATGGCAGTTTTTGGTTTGCCGCAGTTGAATCGGTCTGTGTGGGAGTTGATGAAGTGCTCATATTTGTGAGCACTTGCCTTGAGGTCTTTAACACTGTTAACTTGACAACTCTGCTGTTTTTATTAAACCTGCCACTTCAAACAACACAAAATCTCACCGCCCTGTTTACTACAGCCAAACCTCTCACACTCTGACACATACTTGGCGGGTGCTTGGCCACCGTTCAAGACACGGAGAAATGAGAAAGGCATGGCTGGACTGAGTGCAGCTAAGGCCTCACAGCTATGAGAACTGACAAGAAAGCATTAATGAACTGGTTTATGGTTAGAGTTGTAGTGGAGGCCAATCAGAAGACATGCAAAGTGGTACAGCCCAGTTTGTTAGTTAACGATGGCATCCTTGAGCTGAATCTGTTGTGTTTGGGCAAGAAAAACATTGAAGAAGTTGGGAAATGCTCGTCTAAGCTATATGTTCTAAGCTGCAGGTAGCCATCGACCTGCTGTTCCAGCCCCCTGATCTGACGCTCCTGATCCAGCTGATCAAGGTCTTCTGAAGAGATTGATTAGTTGGATCAGGTGAAGCAGATTAAGGTTTGAACTAAACTCTTCTTCAGGAAGGTAGATCTCCATTAGCAGGGTCGGTGAGCACTGCTTTAAGCCGGAAGCTTTCACAAGCACATTCTGCTATGACTAATGTTGTTTTATGACCAGGAGCAAGTCAGCTCAGTATTTGTTGTTGACAAGCTAAATATCTTTGTTCCGTTCTGTGAAAGTTATTTTCACCCTGCAACCTGACAGAACATGTGAGGTCAAGGAGTTCGATGTTAATACAATATTAGTGACTAGCCTGCAGCATGTCTGCCACCTGACCCACCAGCCATGTGGTATCACCATATGACTGCAGCATTGGTTGTGTTTGCAAATATCCATTTTTGTTTAACTTTGTTCATTATTTTCTTGCCACAACATCAGGCACCCATCTGTGGAACTACTTCACTGACTTAAAATGTACAGACTGGTTAAGTTACAAACATAAAAATACGCTAAAAACTTAAATTAGAAAATATTTTTTTTGTAATATTTGGCTTTTCTCTCCTCACATACTAGCAGCTGTGAATGAGACACATATTCAGGGAGGGAAAACAGTCTCTGTGGCTGGTAAACAGAAGAAAAAATCAGTTATATTGTCGCAGTTCAAGGAAAAACAAGTATCTCCAAAATAGAAACTTTACAGGAGAAGGCAAAAACCACTCTCACCTTTCAGTGTAAATCTGTAAAGAGATTTTATTTCAAGTGATTTCAGAGCATTTCTATTGGTCCATTCATCATGAAAATTTTCCCACAGCGTAAAGCACAGCTGGTGTGTTGAAACAATAAAAAAAAAAAATTGATAAAAATGGAGATACATGTTTTTCTTTGGACAGCGACGCTGTGGGCCACCAAAATTCAACTGATCAGGAAAAAGAGGCATTTTTATTTGAGTCTGAATGCTGCATCTGGTTGTGTGTCTCTCTGTTGCTAAGCGACAGCAGCCTTGTAACTGTCACTCAGTTTTGCTAGCTAGCTATTGTTTCGATATTTACAGGCAAGGCACTCTGGCCCTCTCCCTTATAGAAGGTGATTTACTATTAACTAGCAAGTGCTACTACTAGCAAAATAGGCTAAACTTCTTTTTGTTCATGTCACGCTAACTTTGAGCCATTAAAATCATATAGTTCAGGGGACTCAGTAACCGCAACCGTCTTTCTTTATCGTATTCATCAGCAGCCATATTACAGAAAATTCTTATCTTTTTGTCTTACCTTAAGATCTGACAGGTCAACATAAGATTTTTCACAAATTCGTATTACAGAAGCAAATCTTATCTTAATTTAAGAATCTTATCTTACAGCATTTTTTCTTATCTCAAGTTAGGAAATCTTAACTTACCTGATAGAAGTCGACAATCAACAGTCATGTCTGTTACTTAGCAACCGTCCATACACGCACAGCTTAGAGGAAACACACAATCAAGTTAGTCAGACAGCTAACGTTAGCTGCCGTTACCGGTGTAAAGAAAGTCAAACAAAACTAAAGCGCGATAAACTGAAAGTTAATAATGTTGTGTCAGCACTTCGTATTGTTTTCAGAGCATCGCCGCTCCACGGTTTCAGGCTCCATTTCCCAAACGCTTTAGCCGAGTGCGCTAACGTTATTTCTCCTAATAAACAGACACACATTCAGCTCTGTCTCCTCATTATTCACCACCACCACTGGAATATTTTATCTGACAAGTTTTCATCAACATTAACACACGAAGGTAATAAGATGGGACAGTGGAGATCGTATCCGCAGCATCTGGGGCTTTTAAATACTGTTAGAAAAAAAACTCACAAGTCAAAGCATCGTTTTCAGTGTAGATAAACGTAGCGTCATTATGATACTTATAATAAACTATGCTGCCTGTCACTGCATAAAACAATAGAAACAGACGATTAAAGCAGAAGTTAAGACGCTCTGGGTTTATCTTAAAGTTAGACAATATTTAGGATATTTTGGCAACTTAGGATGTTTCTGTAATACCGTTTTCTTATCTGGAAATAAGACAAGATTATAGACTTAAGAACTGTTGTTTTGTAAAGGCATCTGTCCTAACTTCAGTCTTAACTGAAATTGCCATGACAATAAAGCAGATCTCAGACTTAAGAATTTTCTGCAATATGGCCCCAGCACAATCGATTTAATGCAAAAATGAGTTCATATGAATATGTCTCTTCAAAGCTGGCAAAAGCCAGCAGAGTTGAAGGACATGAATAGTCATGCCAACCTCGCTCTATATCTGTTTGATACATGATTAGCACATTTTGTTGTCAAACTGCAGTTGATTTGGCGAACGTTAATGGTAGCTGGGTAGCTATTGTGGTTTCCCAACAAACTGTCAGTTAGCTTATGTTCAGCTGAGAGAATTAAGGAGCCTCAAAACCTAACAAAGTGGGTTCTGGGCTTCAAGGGACTCCAACAATGTCAGCCAGCTAGCTAGCTTCAGTATTAGCTAACATTAGCTTGCTAGCTAAGACAACGTTCCCTTTTGTCATGATGTTATTTATGATAAACAACTATGACTGTGTTACCAGCTCACTAGGCAGTTGGGAGTGAGGCTTTTAAGGGAGGGGCTTTGTTTAGGGTTTCAAAATAGCGAGCTTTAGCTAACATCTGCCAAAATCGACTAGCTTTAAATTAGTTACTTCCAGCCAAATGTAATCATCCAAATTCAGCCAGTCAACCCATACAACTTCTCTTCTGTCTTATCTGTCCCTTCTCTCCAGGCAGACTTCAGTGAGCTCCTGGGGCTGAAGGACTACATGGGGGTGATGATGTTCATCACCTTTGTCGAGCGGGTGGTACCTGTGTCCGACGAGCGGGTGCAGGTGGCAGAAGAGCTTTTCAGTGGTGTGGAGGTGGTGGTGTATCAGCCCAGGCAGGAGAGAGGAGCTGGAGAGAAGAGGAGAGCTATTATCTATCTGCACGGGGGAGGATGGTGCCTAGGCAGCTCCAGTGAGTCCTGTCTCACTCATAACTACATCACTCTTCAGTTGCTCACCACTGAACTATTTTTCTGTTACGCTGAGAAAAAAAAAGAGTTGTACTAGAAATGCTACATCTATTTTTCTGTGTGACCATCAGGTCCATCACACCTAAATATAATACTAAAATAATAAGGCTATTAGAATATGAGTTTTCACCATACCAGAATTGAGCACAATGCTTGATACCAAAACTAAACCGAAAGTTTGTGGGATTGAACGGAACACAAAAAAAATGTATTTAATATTTGTCATTATCTAATTCAGTATTTTACTGTTAAATAAAATAAATAAGCAACTTATTTTAACATGGCTCACTGAAAATATTCAGTTGGAAAGATTAATAGTGAGATGACAAACAAAATAGCCATAACATTCATCACACTGTGTTTCAAACATTAATACAAAATGGGTTGTTGCACATTTTGATGCAGAATTACTGTTTATTCCCAGAATTGAACATGTTGGAAAAAACCCTAATACGTTAAACTTAGCAAAGAAAAACAAGTTGTAGATTACAACATGCAGAACACGCCATATTTAAGTTTGGTCACTGTTGAGGCTGTGTTTATTACTTCTAATTTATTTTAACTCAGAAAAAGAAAATTTAAGTTGGCCAAAGGTGTTTAAACTTTTGCATATGATTGTATCCACAGTACTGTGCAAAGGTCAGAGACCACTCTTCATTTATTTAACCATCCTTTCTGGGTCAAAGCTGGCCCTTTTTTTATGTTAAAAACTATTAAACTTTATTGTTTTTGCATGAAATTTGATGGCCTTCTCAACAGTGATGACGTGTGTGGAAGAATGAAGATGACCAATTTGATACTTTTGTAAAGTCTCTGCACCAATTTGGGGGGTCAAATTTGAAAACAGTGTAGATAAAGTTTACTACAATTTGTAAGATTTTACACACACACACACACACATACACACACAAACACACACACGCATACACACACTGTCCACGAAAGCCAAATATTTTGCACAAGAAAAGTATAATCCAGACATATCGAGGGAGGGACGAAACTGTTATATGTCCTGCATTACTTCATATCTGCTGCCACTGTAATGACTAAATGGAGGATCACAGTCTATGAAATGCATTAAATTACTTATCAATAAGCCATGATTTACAAGATGCTGAGAGTGAAACAGAAGGCATCTGAAACAGAGGACAATGTTGAGCATGATGTAGTTACTAAATGCTAAATGTTCCACATCCCCTTCTGAGACTTGGGGTATTATGGGACAAAAGATTGACCCAGATTGACCCCTGGGCCCACAAGATGTTCAGGAAAAAGGAATAAAACTCATTCAGTTTCATTTGTAACTTAAATGTCAATTTTGACCCACAATATAAAAGTGAATTTATTTATAATGTGATGTCATCAACACAAAATATCTGTAAGGTACATACATGCTGGAAAGAGATAACGCTGTAGAAAACTGGCTTCAAAATAGTCATTTAAACCCATGAAATGCTCTAAAATGTGTGTTTTGTAAGGAAAACAAATGTCCTATTTTTAGGTAAATGAGGTCATAAAATGAATTATTTTTAGTTTTTTAAAAGAAATCTGCTGGGATATTTTCAGTTCAGTCTTAGAATTTGGTTCCATTTTCTACTTCTCATGACCCAAGTAACACATTCAGTGATGCTGAGGTCTGGACAATGGCTTGGTCAGTCCATTGTTCTGAGACCACTAGCAACTTCTTTGAGGGCTTCTTGACAGCTACACATCCTTTCAGACCCATAGCGCTGGGTTGTCTCTGACAGTGGAAGGATGGACAGAAACACCTGTGGATGTTTTCAGATCTGAAGCAGCTTGATTTTCTCCTCTCTCTCAAAGATGAAAGTGTTAAGTGCTGCTGATCTGATGGGGACAGTTTTGGCGGTTTACCAGGCCCTGCAGGTGGTTGTTAGGAGTCCCATTTTCTGTGTATCTTTTAATAATGTTTTGAACTGCAGTTTGGAGGAAATACTGTTTTTTTACTTGTTGTCCTTGGACTTTCTCTTTCCTTATTCAACTTATCTTATAATTAATCTCAGACATATTTCCTAAAAAGGAAATAACTTGTAATTAAAGGCTATTTTGACTGGAAATTAAAGAAATGAAGGGTTGTGTCTGACTTCTGCCCAATACTGTAAATATAGAATTAGAAGTATTCAAAATTAGAGGATTGAATCGTTTACAATATTGTATTATTGCAACAGCATTGAACTTCTAATACATGGTTTAATGCTAATTAGTATACAACTTGAAGATTACAGAATGACAACCAAAGCAACATTCTTTCCTTGACTGTTTGTTGTATCATCCTCATCTCTGAGTGAAGTCACACCCTATCTGCGAAAACAAAATCATACCATCTGGTAAAACTGTCAGACATGCATCCTGACCGCAGTAACCCTCGGTAACCAGCCGTTAGAAGGCTGACATAACATTGGTAACGTGACCTGACACGGGATGTCACGCTGTCTGGTCAAGCTGCTGTCAGAACCATACAGAACGGAACGGTCACCGCATGCTAGAACTGTGCCAAACAAATAGAGTCCCTGGCATGCATGTTTTATTGCTTTCATTCCCTTGAAAACATCTAACCAGACTTGTCACTTTGATGGTGTAAAAGTGCATTATATGCATTGATCTGCAGATGATGGTTCTGTTGCACTGGCTTTAAATGTTAGAATAAGTGGCTTAACTGGGATCTTATGGGTCCAGTGCAAAAAAGAAAAATAGGACCCCAATACACAAATTACCTTAATAAAACAGAAAGCGGTGATTTGTGAATCCACTTTGACCTGTATTTGATTGAAAACAGTAAAAAGACAAGATATTTGATGTTTTACTTTATCAACTTCATCACTTGTTGTAAATATTCGCTCATTCTGAAATCGATGCCTGGAACACATTCCGAAAAAGTTGGGACAGGGGCATTTTAAGACTAGAAACATTGGGAAATGTTCAAAAAACATCTTAAACAGTTGATGCAATGATGCTTCCATTTAAAAAGAGCATCCAGGAAATGCCTAGTGCTTTATAATCAAGGATAGGTCAAAGCTTGTCAGAAAATACCTCAGCGAACAGACCAGCAGTTCAAGAACAATGTTCCTCAACCAGCGATTGCAAGGATTTTAGCTATTTTACCCTCTATGGCGCAAAAATATCACCAACAGATTCAGAGAATCTGGAGAAATGTATGTGCATAAAGGACCCCTATAGACCCCTCAGCACTCCATTTAGAACCAGCGTGCTTCTGTGGGCTCGGAAGCGTGGGCTCGGGAATACTTTGACCGTTGACAGTAAACGCTGTTTTTAACTGCATCCCCTAATGCAAGTTAAGACTGTACTATGCACTGTGGAAGCCATATGTCAACAACGTCCAGAAATGGTGTTGACTTCTCTGGACTCAAGCTCATCTGTAATGTACTGATGCACAATAGAAATGTCTATTGTGGTCTGACAAGCCAACCTTTCAGATTGTTTATGGACATAAAGGAAGATATTGGTAATGCTTTATTTGAAAAGTCCACTTTAGATGCGTTGTAGTCACTTCATTTACTTTCAAGTTACCTTCTATTAAATGTCAAATAAATTGACCATAATTTGGCAAACCTGGCTCTAATCCTAACCATAACCTTAACCTCAACCCAAAACCTAAACCCAACCCTCACCCTGGTCCAAATCCTAACCCCAACCCCACCACTGTTTAGAATCAACTGAGTTTTAACAGATAGTTTGTTAATAATTCTGTTCTGAACCTATAGGGGTAGATAATACTAATAATATAGATAATACTACCACTATTAATAATAATACAAGTACTTTCAAGTATCTGGTTGTCCATCTGTGTGACAAGTTGGGATGGGAAGTTAATATAGACAAGCTGTACCAAAGGCCTTTCTGAGGAGGCTGAGGTCCTTTGATGTCTGAAGCCTACATCCTGTTGTGTGCTGGGGCAGCAGTATTACAGTGAAGGACACTAACAAGCTGAACAAGATCATTAGAACGGCCAGTTCAGTCCTGTGGGCTGTGGAGATGGTGGTGGAGAGGAGCATGCTGGCAAAGGTGTCAGTGATTATGCAGAACCATTCCCACCCACTCCACAAAACACAACAGGGCCAGAGGAGTACAATGAGTAGCAGACTGCTCCAGCCTCACTGCAGGAAGCATTGCTTTCGCGGGTCATTTCTTCCTGCGGCCATCAAACTGTACACCTCTGCACTCATCTGTTCTATCTGCACTGCACTTTATTACTGCTTATTTTGCTCTGGTCAATTTGCACAAGACTGTATTTTACAGCAGTACTGCATTGGGTGCTTTATTACTGTGGAACAGTGCAGCAACTGTAAACTACCTCATCTGTGGATTACTGTTATTTTAACACTGTAACACAAACTGCAACAGTAACTGTGGCTTTAACAGTGACAGTAGCTGTAACTTCAATACTTTATGCAAATGAGTGTGACAATACAGTAGTTTTGCCCCTTAGCACAGCTATAGTTGTATGCATTGTTCTAAAGGGGTGGCCGAGGTGGCCAAGGCCCTACCTGAAATCTGAATGGTCACCTCAGATGCCACCCCAAAATTTCTGCCAGGTCATTGGCTTCCAGCTTTCACCTTTAAGGGGAGAGTTGTTTGCTGCAATACAAGGACTTTCCACCCCTGTGCTTGCACACCCCCCCCGACGCTGCAAGGCCCCCCCCTCCCCACACACACACACACTCACATTGTGATCATGTCTCTGTCAGCAATCAGTGAAACAACTGTCCAACATGTCATGAATCTAATGTAGACTTTTACTTAGGACGTTTTTTCAAGAACAAATAAAAAAAAAAAAAGCTAAGGAGCATATTGGTGAATGAGGTCCATCGTTTCTATTATCTATATTCCACTATAATAATCTGTCCTGTGCGTCTCTCTTTTTCTCATTTCTCTTCTTTCTCCATCTGTTTCTCTTACTACAGGAATGGGACCCTATGATCTTTTGGCCAGACAGATGGTTACAGAGCTCAATGCGGTTGTTGTTTCAGTAGAGTGAGTATCATGACACTTTTTCTCCTCAATCAAAACAAGGAAGTTGTCTTTTTCTCTTAGTAAGTGTGACCATCTGGTCTGAAGTGATTTTTATAGAGTGTTAAAATGGGCCGGTTGTGTTTGTAATGTTGTATAACTAGCATAATGATAATAACCTTTGATTGAACCCAAACTGGACTTAGCAGAGCTGAACTATGAATGAGTTAAATGAATGCTGGACCAGCGTTATTATATCACTGATGAACCACACTGGCTCGTCCTTTGCCATGGGCTGAAAGGCCTGGCAGCTCCGGCCTTTTTCAATAGAGATCCGCTTAGCTGTGCTTGTCCAAACAGCGCATAATGAGCATTATGCTGTGCTCTGTGGTCTGCCTCACCCAGACTACATGGCACGATACAGTAAGCCAGGGATCTGCCTAAAACAGCAATTTAGACATTCCACTTTGGTCTCACTGTACAAATGATTTGTGACTTTAATTTCAGACACATTTTGTATGATGCCCAAGGAGTAAACAGTAGTCATAATCAACTGTAATTGTGATGAAATATAACAATCTAAAGGCAGTTATTGTTGCTGATCACCCCTTTTTGAGCTGACTCTGCTATTTATTTAATTGCCTCATATGTCCTTTGTATGATCAAGGCAAGATCATGTTAAACCTTATTTATATTCTCAGAAAACATGCAAAAGTCAGAAAGCACTTTTTATTTATTTAATTTCCAGTCAAAATGGCCATTAAATACAAGTTATTCATTTTTCAACATAAAAAAAGCATATAGAAAACAAAAGCCTCAACAATTAATTATAATTAATTTTATATATGGTTGCATTTTTTGCTTCTCAATTGATTTTCACTTGGCTCTTAAACCTTTAATGGCCGTTTTGACTGGAAATTAAATAAATGAAGGTGTTCTCTGACTTTTGCTCAGTCACACAAGGTATTTCACGGTCCACATAAAAACAGCATTACAGACTGTGTTATCTTCCATGAGTGCTCTTTACTTATTTACTCTTGGGGATGTCCATCCCCTAAAGACTCCTTTCAAGATAAGATGTGATTGTAGAAAAGCTTTACAGATTAAAGGTTTCAGCTTTACAAAACCTTTCACATGTAGATAGCAGGTTTCTCCCAGTTTGCTTATTTAAGTCACACTTTACTGAGTCTGCTCTTTAATGATTTATTTTTAGTTGTTGCTGTTTTGGTTCTTTTAGACTTTAGAGCAGCATTTGTTACTGATCACACTGATTGCCTGAAGTATGGTGTTGGCATCCAGGGCACAAAGATTAAGTAGTTTGCATCTTAAAACAGAATTTTTTCTGTCAATATGGGTCATTTTTCCTCTTCCTTTGTGCCTATTAACTGTGTAGTACCTCAGGGCTCTGTCTTGGGTCCTGTTTTGTTCTCTTTATACATGCTACTGTTGGGTCTGTCGTTCAGAAGTACAAAATCAACCCTATCACTGTTATATATATATATATAGATGGCACACAGTTCTTGAACCAGGTGAAAATGGCTCTCTGTGCCTCATTTCCATTTGATTAAGAGGCATGAAGTGCTGGTTGTCAGAGAACTTTCTTAAATTAAACCAAGACAAAAGTGAAATCGGCCAGAACTATAACTAATAATCTGGGGCCATCATTATATAATGCACATAGCCATGTAAAATATGTTGGTGTTATCTTTGATTTTTTCTCTAAATTTAAGATGCAGAGGCGGATTAGAATTGTAGCAAAATTTAAAAGCAGCCTAAAGGACCTGGAAACAGTTGTTCATGCTTTTTTTGCATCTCTTATTGATTATTGCAACTTGCTGTACTTAGGAATCTGTCAGACAAGTTTGTCATGTCTACAGCTGGTCCAAAATGCAGCTGTGAGGCTTCTGACTGGTACCATGAAAGGGGAGAGCATTACCCCATACTCTCGTCAATGCACTGGTTACCAGTAAAAAAATGAGTTGAATTTAAGGTTTTCTTATTCGCTTTTAAAGTTTTGCATGGCTTGGCTCTGAGCTTGATCTCTGACCTCCTCTCCATTCCATTCCACATCACGAGCCAAATGATCTTCCCACCACTTGCTCTTAGCCATTCCACACTCTTGTTGAGATTCAAACAGGCTTTTTCTGTAGCTGCCCAAGACTCTGGAACAGTCTTCTGCTGTAGGGTACTGTTCATAAAGCTGCATGACTCCTACATAAGCTGGACACCTCATGTAACCCTGCATAAGTATTTATAAATGCTTATTCCAATAAACCCTTTTCACACTCTGCTGCCGTTAAGAGAAAATAGCGACCAAACAGGGAACCACACATCCGGTTAGCCTGCTGCTTGTTTCAAAACATGGAAGTATAGTGCTTCAGATGTTGTTTTGAAGACCTTCTTCATATCTCAGGCAGTGATGTAGAGCGACTAGATTGTTTTTTTGACCAATAAAAAAATTATATTTTGTTTTTTTTATCTTTCAAGGTAAGTTACTTACATAGCCAGCTAACATAGCTAACCTAGTGAGCTAACTCAGCAAACCTGATTGGAAATTTTTGGCTTGTTTTAATATTTATATTTATTTAAAATATAAATGTTTTTGTATGTACATGTAGCTTCATATGTTGTAAACGAGGAGGTGATAGTGAGGGCCAGACCGTACAATGAGGAAGAATGATAAACCTCACAAAGTACAGGTTTGACACAGTTACGGCTAGGAATGAGAAGAGCTGCGGTTGCAGCAATATTGTACTGGCTATAGCCACATTGAGGTGGCTAATCAAAGACGTCAGCAACAAGCATTAACCAACAAGTGAGTTTAAATCTGCAGCTGCAGTGCTTTGTTAGCTCAGGCTGCTTTTGCAATATCAGTAATCTGCTAGACTTTGAACTTCTGATGAAGGCGAAGTCGACTTCTTTAAATATTCTGTTCCACCTTAAGTTGTGCTACAGTTACGTTCTGGTGCCTGCATGGAGTTAACCCGATTATCTCCCCAATTTAGTCGTCTCCAATCCCACCCGCTAGTTAGGACTCCCCCAATCACACGATGCTATCAACGCTAGGAGGGTGAAGGCTAACACAGGCTTCCTCCGAGACCTGTGAAGCCAACCACCACTTCTTTTCGAACTGCCTCTCACGCAACGTCACTGGACAGCCGAACGCGCTCGGAGGAAAGCGCCAACCGCCAGATCTGTTATGTCAGCTAACAGACGCCTGCGCTGACTAGCATCGCACTGAGTGATGGGGGGAGAGGGAGGGGCCATCCCACCCACCCAGAGAGAGCGAGGCCAATTGTGCTCTCTCGGACTCCCGGCTACGGATGGCTGTAGCATCACCAGGGATTGAACTCGCGATCTCCTGATGATAGGGCCAACGCTTAGACGGTTGCGCCACTCGGGAGCCCCTCTGCATGGAGTTTAAGGTGACTGCTGCATCATTTAAGGTGGAAAGGAAATTTGAGCGAGAAGCCTCGTGAACATTCATGTTTTGTTGGATGAAATAAAACATTAGTGTTTTGTTGTATGAAACGGCAGGGTACAGCACCACCTCTGAGCATAAATTGACCCAAAGAAGTCTTATAAACGTGGATTTTGGCAAAGCGATGGCTGCCGACATGAATGCTGCTTTATCTATAAAATTACACTTTGGATTGACAGGATCCATTTTTTTTTTTTTTAATTTTTAACCCAATTTTCTCCCCAATTTAGTCGTCTCCAATTCCACCCGCTAGTTAAGACTCCCCCAATCACACGATACTATCAACACTAGGAGGGCGAAGGCTAACACAGGTTTCCTCTGATACCTGTCAAACCAGCCACCGCTTCTTTTCGAACTGCCGCTCACGCAACGTCATTGGACAGCTGAACGCGCTCGGAGGAAAGCACCAACCGCCAGATCTGTTACGTCAGCTAACAGACGCCTGCGCTGACTAGCATCGGGTTGGGTGATGGGGGAGAGGGAGGGGCCATCCTACCCACCCAGAGAGAGCGTGGCCAATCTTGGACTCCCAGCTACGGATGGCTGTAGCATCACCAGGGATCGAACTCGCAATCTTCTGATGATAGGGCCAACGCTTAGACGGTTGTGCCAGTCGGGAGCCCCCCATTTTGTTTTTAGCGTGTGCTTGTTCAGAAATATATGCAATCCCAGGTGTGCCTTTTTTGTTTGGAGTGGCACTGAGGAACGCAGCAGAACACCTTAAAACTGGACTGCGCCATTTGTTTTGGTTTGACCAGAAATGAAATTACCTGCTAACAGAACCCAATGGATTTGAGATCCTGAAAAAGTGAAAAAGGCCTATATACGTCGTCTTTCATATGGGCTATTTTAGCTAAACTTTGATCAAAATTGGCAAATGTAACCTTTATAACGAATGACACCAATTGGAATAAGCGTTTATAAACATTTATGTAGGGTTATGTTGGTTGTCATGACAAGTTTGTGTATGTTCATGTAGCCTTATAAACAGGACCCTACAGTAGTTTACGAAACATATTCATTTCCTTAGGCATCTGAGTCCTTCTAAAGACTATGTATTCAGTCATGTTTGTTGGTTTGTTCTGTGTTGTCATCAGTAGCTCTTCTTTGTTTCATTGTTTTATCTGCACTAGTTATTTTTAGTTGATTTTGTTGTGCAGCACTTTGGTTGACACTCATCTTTTAAATATTCTATACAAACAAAGGTCACTTGACTTCCTCATGTTTACGGTCAGAGCGCTGTCTTTGAAAGTATCTATAGTAAATGTTTGCATGGGTTTTGGTGTTCTTTTTTTTTCTGGAATCTTACCTGAACTGTATGCAGATACCGTCTGGCCCCAGCTCACCACTTCCCTGTCCAGTTTGAGGATGTGTACCATGTAGTCAAGCACTTCCTCCGAGTGGACGTCCTGGACAGCTACAAAGTGGACCCGGAACGCGTGGCAGTCTCCGGGGACAGTGCAGGAGGCAACCTGGCGGCCGCAGTGGCACAGCAGGTGAGGCGCAGTGGGAGCATCATAGCAGGGAAGAGTGAGGCATCCTAACCCTATGTATTTATAACAGTAGCTAAAAAGTTTGGTGATGCAAAGACAATTAATTCAATATGGGTCTATGTTGTTTGTACCAAAAGAGCTTTCCAAAACAAATGCAAAAAATATGTGCATCAAAATGAATGTAATTAGCAAAGAGATGAAGATTGATAGACGGACAGATTGGGGGATGTGTATTTCACTCATTGTTTACTTTGGGAGGCTTAGTTGTAGCATTACATTAAAACTAACCTCACCATGTGGAGGCTGTACTTTTGGCTGGCTAGCTCTCACTGTGAGTTATGTATATGCTTCAAAATGATCCTAAGTGATGCATTGATTTCACTCAGTCCAAATATGTAATCATTTATGTGGATACATGTTGTTGGTATCTTCAAGAGAATAGACCCCCCCAACAGCAAGAAATCCAAGAACATATTTATTTTACGATAAAATGCACAGAAGTTCTGTACCTTTGTTGTACATTTCTTGAGGTTATTTTGGAAATCCAAATGTTTTTTTAACTTACATTTTGTTATCTTCTGTATATTGTACATCTTAAATCATTAAATGTTAAAATCATAGCATATCTGTAATTTCTTCTTTCACTCTTCAATCAGAAAAAAAGTTTGAAGAAGTCCCTTTGGAGAAATTGTAGGGTCAAAAATGCCTAGATGCCTTTTTAAAATGCCATTTTAAACTCTTTGAGCAGCTTCAAATATTTAATTAGAAATTAATAATTTATATTCTTGATATACAGAGTCATATGTAAAAGTTTGGGTGTCCCTGTTCAAATGATGAAACATAACACGGTTTGAGGCATATGATGATAAAGGTATGCAGCATGCGTGATGCTAATGGGTAGGGTATAGGTGTCCATTATTTGTTAGCAGCATTAGCTTTGTAGCTCCAATTCCGAGCTGAAGTATTTGCTATGTTTGGGCTTAAGGGATGTCAAAATAGAGGTGTATCAATGTACTTCTGGTCTTTTTCTGACCTCAGTTGCAGCTGGAGCCAGAGCAGCATGTGAAGCTGAAGGTCCAGGCCTTGATCTACCCGGTACTGCAGGCCTTGGACCTCAACACTCCATCCTACCAACAGAACCAGCACATGCCCATCCTGCCACGCACACTCATGGTGCGCTTCTGGAGCCAGTACTTAACCAGTGACAAATCCCTCTTCTGGGCCATGATGGCCAACGACCACAACAGCCCCTGAGTCAGCTGCACTGCTAAAGTTTGTCAACTGGAGTGCCTTCCTGCCAGAGTCGTACCGCCAGGCGTACAATTACAGCGCCCCACCTATAGCAGCAGCCGAAACACCTGAGCGCCCAGTTCGTTCCATGATAGACCCACGGGCCTCACCCCTTCTGGTGCCCGATGCTGTGCTACGCCCATTCCCCAAAGCCTACGTGCTGACGTGCGAGTATGACGTGCTGCGGGACGACGGTATGATGTATGTCACGCGCTTACGTCAGGCTGGGGTGGACGTGACACATGAACATTACTCAGGCGGCTTCCACGGCGCCCTCATGTTCACCATATGGCCCACCGACTTTGAAATCGCTCAAAGGATGACGATCAACTATATACTGTGGCTCAAGCAAAATTTGTGAATGATATCATTTTCCAAAATTTGTAAATTACATGATTTTGCAAGAAATGCAAATTAAATAATTTTCCAAACATTGTAAATGTCACAATTTTACAAAATTTGCAAATTATTTAATTTTATTTTAATATGCAAATTATATAGCTACAAATTTGTAAGTTATATAATTGTAAATAAAAAATTGCAAATTATGTAGTTACAAAATGTGTAGATCACGTTTCAAAATTAGTAAAATATGTAATGTTACGAAATGTGTGAATTATAAAGCTACAAAATTTATGAATGATATAGCTACAAAAATTGTAAATTACATAATTTTACAAAAAGTATGTAATTGTACAAAATTTGCAAATTATACAATATACAGTATGTACATACATATATATATTCATGTACATTCACAAAATCTAAAAAATAGCCCCAAATCATTTTATATTATGGAACTTTACAATATATGCACATTATGTAACTTTGAAAATTGTAAATTACACTATTATACAAAATGTATACATTTTAAATTTCATAATTTTAAAATTCTATCTTTATGAATGATATAATTTTACAGATTAGAATTTACAATTAGAATTAGCTAATTATATAAATACAAAAAATATATAATTTACAAAGTTGTAAGCTATATAAAGAATAGCTTTACATTCCTTCTCTCAGACGCCCTCCTGGCACCAGGCTGTGGTTAGATGTTCAGTGTTTTTCTTTTGTTTTTTAATTTAACCAAATGTATTCTGGGTGTTTCATGCTGTTTACATAGCCGCTGCTGACAGTTTGGGTATTTTCTTTTCTCCGAGTTTTGACTTTTTATTATCATCAAGGTGTTGTAATATTTTTGTGACCACTGACTTTTTATTTTTTACTGTGGCTCTGTAATAACAGATACTGGACCTGGTTTCAACAAAAACAAGACTTCCTAATTGTAGTGTCTGCGCTGCTTCCGTTGAATAATGTCAGTGCATTTTTGCCAGGGTTTATTTTTATTTTTCATTTCCTGAAATGACTGTACAAGTTAATTGTTGTCGTTTGTTTATTGACTTCAACTCTTAGAACAAAGTCTACAGTTCTGTTAATCTCATGTGTTTCCACACTGAATGATGTACTTGATAGGATTCAGTTTGACAAGAAGTAAAAAAGTCAACTGAAGGTTCTGCTTTAAGGCTTCATCTCTTGCTGTTTTTCGGGGGGAAGAGTGGCTCTAATGGACCATTTTTTTCTGTTATGTGACAAAAAAGTGGAATACGAGAAAAAGCCTCTTTGTTTAAATGTCCTAGATGAATGAAATCTGGATTGGAGCTGTTGGCCTTGGGGCTTTCTTCTTCATGTGACCTTGGTGTAAAATTGCACTACTGTCTTATCCGCCGATCTCCCTCCCCATCTCTGTCACGTTGCACTCTTATGTGCTTCCAAGAGTGCCGTGTGGAGAGCGAGCTGTAAGAGAGGCCTCGGTGTGCGTTAAAGTATAGCCAGGTCATTGTTTGTGTTTGACAAATGGACTCACCCACTTCACTCAGATTAACCACTGAAGCATGCAGTGAAGCGATAACACAGTCCAACACAATTCTAACCTCCTCCACTTAAACAAACAGAAACACAGCCTCTCCTAATCGCTGCCTTGATTTAACATCAGGACATTTTAGATGCACATATTGGATATTGAATCAAATATACTTATTTAAGAAGGTTGTATGCATAAAACAGTATCACATTACTTTTCCCCTCTGTTTTCTCTAGTAAGTGTTGTCAGCCTGGTCTGATAAACGCTGGCCTTTCTGTTTGGGAGTTCCCTTTCTTTACAGTCACGTGGACCTTTGCAAGGATGGACTGGCTCATCTATACAGATCCAGCAGGATATTGTTTGGTGGAGGGTGAACCCCCTCTCCCACTCTGAGGCACCTGAGCTAAAGCATTTCCTTTGGGATCAGAGGAGGAGAGGTCACCCAGAGGATAGAGGAATTGGAAGATCAGCTGAGGTATGCACTCGCACAGCTTTGCACCTGCAAGGCCTTGGCCTTGGTCATCTCCAAATGAAGAGGAAAGTTCATTCCATTCTTAGCGTGCATAGTAACAGGAATGCATAGGCCTACTGTGTTTACAGTGTAGTGATAGGAACCAGGGGTCACCATGACTACAGCACATCATTTTATTTACTATCCACACCCACCAGTGAACCTACACAGATCTTATTTCTTTATATGTAATGTTGATGATGGCAAAATAGTGATAAATCTGAAAAAAAAAAAAAATTTAGACAATTTTGCCTCATAACACCCTGCTTGTATCCCTCCACCATGAATGGATTAAAATAAATGGATTGAAATACATTTTAATCCAAAACATTATCACTAAACTATCATAACCCAACGTCTCAGACTTTAGGCAGCATATTTTGAAACATTTCATGAACTAACTTTCTGTGAGGGAGGTTTAGAGGTGGATGTCTGGTTCCTATCACCACTCTATACGTTTCTTTAGAACAGAGCATTTCACAACAAACCACTCAATGACTTTTTACATTTCAGTATTTGGATTATGCCGAACTTTTGAGAAATCGGTGGAATTCCCCCTTGAGTCAGAATTTTGCATATTTAACTAGTCATTAAAGTAAAAAAAAAATCTAAAATGGTACAATTTGTGAGACATCTATTATCTTTTACTTCACAGTGAACTAATCATGAACTAAATGGGTATTTAGTGTTATTCATCATTAATTAATATATTCCCATTACATAATAACAGGCATATAAGCTATTACTTAACAATCAAGAATGGAGCTTCTATGTCATAATTAACAAATTATGCACTAACTAGGGATTCAGTCATTAGAACTTTATCAATTAACAGTCTATGTTTATTAATCTGTCAGAAATAAATAGTAAATTCAGATGTCATCCACTGAAGATATCTTGTCAGCTAATATGATGTGTCTTTTGTAAACCCCAACAAAAAGAATGCTAAAAGCCTCTGAATAATTTGGTAAACATTAGCAAACAGCAGTGATTTCTTGGTCATTTGTATGAATGATAAGTCAACAATCTGCAGCAACTTCGCAGCCTGTAATCTGACGTAAAAACAATTAATGTATTAATTTATTTTAATTTAATTTCAGCTCTTATGAATATCTATAAATGCCCATAAGCCATTTACAAACTTCTTTGCACTAGAATAGAAGATATTCGTTCTTCAACAACCTTAATAAACACTCCTGTGTATCCTGACTCGACACCTCCATTTGAGTTAGAAGACAAGACCACCTTGAACTTGTGAGTTGAACAGTTTTATTAAAATTAGGGCGAAAACAAACAACGCAAAGCATGAAGCCATTGATGCCAAAGGGCAAAGTGGAACATGAGAACTACTACAAAGACAAGAACAGAAACCACCTAGAAACCACACACAGGAGAAAACATTTAGCGAATTCATGACATTTTCTGTCAGTGAACCAACACTCACAAACCAAACTTAAAACTAGGGTCAAATACAATGTGGCAAGGCTAGTAATGTTACCTGAGGTGAAAACGACTAGCATTTGTCTGACTATATTGAAGACTTTAGATTGACACGTGGCTCTTGGTGGCATCACTGTTTGTGGTGGTGGCTGGCTGATGCATCCGGTGTGTGGTAGTAGGGTATTAGTATCAATATCAATATCGATTCTGACTGTAATACCCATCCCAAACAGTAAATACTGCTAATCTGTATGCTCTTTAAGTGGGACCTCTTCTATAGATTAAGCCATTGTAAAAAAAGTTTGATTATTCAAGCCAAATAGTGATTCCTTTATCCTTTATTGCAGTAGTTATAGGGCCAAAATGAAGCATCAAAGCATGAGCAGTGACAACAAATACAACATTATGCTACTGCACTGGTTGTAATTATAAAATCAACATCCTCTCCACTAAAAAAGCACAGCATACGTGCTACCAAAGATGTTTAAGATAACAAGGAGAATAGCTTCCCAGGCTAAAGAAATGCAGTTTTACACATATCTATATATATTTTTTAATATTTACAAATATCTCTTAAAGAATGGTTTAAAATGCATAAACAGGTGACTCAGATACATGGTGGAATTTTCACACCATGATACATGTATGTGTTCAGAGGAGTTTCAGAGTTTTATGCTAAATTCCAAACAAACGGTTTAAATGAGTGTTGTTTTATAAAGAATCTGCCCTTAGGAGACAGACTACTGCACAAACTAAATTTAGTTTCATTTAGATAAAACATCTTTGTTGCTGAGGTAAAGCCAGTGCAAAGAAATCATGCCAGTTTTCAAACAACAGATCTTTTCTAGATATTTTGTAGAGACTTTGGAAATGTTTCTAAATAGTAGAAGCCTCGATGTCCTTAGTTGTCTTCAAAGGACATTGTTCCATTCCTGAAATGTAACTTTTCAGAGTGGACATTTTTCGATGGACAAACAGATAGTGGTTTGGGCATCTGTTCATTTGGGACCTTTACTAAGTAATGCTCTACTAGACATTATAGCACCATTCCAACTTGCACTGATTTTACACTTTAGGAATGTTGCCTTGCATTCCAGAGTCTGTCACTTACTGTGGCTGCTTTTGATATGCAAAATAACTAACCATAAACCATTGCTTTTGTCTGACTTGTATGGATAGGCGACTTTTAAAAAGGTCTCCAATAAAAAAGCACACCCACAGAAAACAAAGTGGTATGCTCGCGAAGATGTCTTGCTTACTAGCTGGCTAATTCTTTAAAGAAAACTCTTGAGCAACTTTTAAGCATGTGGTCCCATGACATTTGCAAGCTTTTTTTCAAATCCAGCAATTATATCCTGCGCCAAAATACTCGTCAGGACAAGCAACTGTTTGCGAAAGTTTGTCAGACAGATTGGAACTGTGCATGGAAGTGCATACACATACCTGTGGATAGCCAGTCGCTGACAAAATCCAGAATTTTTGGCCAATTTAACATGCAATAGACATATATGTATGTGGAACAAAGATGAGATTAGGGATAATGAGAATGGTGTGACAGGGATTAAAACAGGCCTCCGTAGAACTGCTAGAAATGTATGGAAGGCCTTTATTGTAGAGCTAGGCCTTAGCAGACACTGATTAAATGATACCCATTCCAATGATTCCAGTTAATCAAAGGTCCAATCGGGACAGTACTCCAGGCCAAAATGTTTCCTTTGTTCCTAGATGAAGCCTGAGCACTAAAGTTTTCCTCTACGAACAGTGACCTTTTGGGAATGCAATATCAAATGGGCTTAAGTTGATGAAAATAGTGCATGATGTTGCTGTGTGCAGGGACATCATGCACACAGCAACATCATCTTATCTCTAAGATATGTGATAGAAGGCAGTACATGGCGTATCATGTGCTCTCGATTAATCTTTTGATATAGCTAATCCAGGCTTATCCATTTTGTGTATGCATGCATAGTTCTCCAGCAAAAACCAATATTAGATCTCTGCAAACACAGATAGAGATCATATAAACACAAGATTTTTAAGATGTCCTTAGATGTCTTCAAACCACACTGTTCTGTCAAATTCCCAGAAGACAATCTTGAGGCAGTCTGCTGTGTAGGAAAAAGTAAATACTTTGCCAGAATGTAAATTTTCCCACATCTACTCATTCCTGACAATCCATTCTAGTCTGTCTTTTTCTAGAAAATGAGGAACCTGTGGTGGAAATGTCTCTTGTTTTGAGTAAAACCTTGAGTCTACTCTCGGAAACTGGTGATCCTGGATGGCAGGAGGTTTGTGATGATGGGACAGTGTCAAACTGGACTAGGAATTAGTGAAATCGGTTTGATTCAAGTGGTTATGAAATGTTTTGAGTGCAGCACAACATCCCAAAAAAGTCCAGGCTATCGTTTTGCATCCACAATGCATTTCTGTCAATGAAAATGGTTCCCACCTTGCTGAATAATAGGGGCTACTGCCAGGTGCCTAGTCCCATTAACCAAGGAGATAAAATCATCTGGAAATGAACCCTGAGGTAAGTCTATATACACAACAATAAAACAAAATATGTTGTCATGACAAATGGTATAAATTTACAGTCAATCTGTAGTATCCACCTTTTGCGAGAACTTCAATACCACAGGAGAAGTCTGTTCTGTTTCCACATTCTTTTGACCTCTAACCAATGGTAGTCGCACTGCAGGTGGAGATGTAGAACTTGAAGCAGAAGAACCCCCCCCATGGTCGGAGTGTCCTTGTAGTGCGCATTGAGCAATAAGCTTGTTCATCACCGGTATGAATCCGTGGCCAACAAACAAGAAGATGAGTGGATCCAGGCAACTATTTATAGCAGCAAAGCAGAGAGTTACCACCACTGTCTTCTGCAAGGTGGCTAGCAATTGACAATCCTTCTGGTGGTGCATCATGTAGTAGAGGTGGAGGGTGCGCTGGATGTGGTAGGGCAGGAAGCACAAGCAGAAGATACAAAGCACCAGGCACACCAGTGCCACGTCCCGCTGCCTCTGGCCTGCCCTTGTCCGCAAGATGTGTCGGATCATTAGTGAGTAGCAAATTAACACCACGGTCAGTGGAAGTAGAAAGCAGGTCACCAGGACAATCAGGTTCAGCTGATACAGCCAACCCCAGGATTCACCCCTGGGTTCTAGGCATCCTTCTACTTCTATATTGAACCCAAAAGTAGCAGCAATATATAATACGTTTCCTCCAAGCACGAAGACCCAGATGCCCCAGCACAGGATGCGAGCCCACCGGCAGGCCTCACTGTTCTGGAGGCGAACTCGACCAGCTAACACCAGGTAGCGGCACAAGCTCAAAGCGGTCAGGAACAAGATACTGCAGTACATGCTGATGTAGAACAAGTAGGTGGAGAAACGGCAGGTTATGTCCAAGGCCATCATAGTAAAAGATCTCGGCATACCGGCACTTGACGGAGAATAAGTGGAGTAAAAGGCGATCCGGATTGGCAGGGTGAGGATGAAGACGAGGTCAGAGGCGGCCAGGTGGATGAGGAAGATGGTTGACAGGCGATTCTTGATGGAGAACTTGCAGAAGACGTACAATGCGCCCACATTGCCCACAAGCCCGAAAACAAAGACCAGGCTGAACACCACAGTGTAGGTGGTGTATTTGTACTCCTCTGAGTGGTTACAGCTGAGGTTCAGGGTTGAGTTGTTGCTCGCCATCACTGAAGTGGGTTCAACAGATCCTACAAAGCAGAGCACATAGGAAAATACGTTGGCCGTCTTGGATGCAAATACAAAATAAGTCAAACAGTGTCTAAAGTTTGTGTGTGGTGTTTTAGGACATCAACTCCTAGGCTACTTATTCAGTTAAGAATCCTAAGATGTATTAGTGATTAACTACAATGGGTTATTTAATAACTACTGTGAAAATACTGTAATATGTATGCAAATGTTTGGGCGCCCCTGGTCAAATTACATGTTTTGCTGATTTCCTAAGAGACAGTAAGTGAACACATCCTCGACAGAGAACACACTTCTACACATTTTAATGCACAATTGCTGTTTATTTGCTGAATTTTAACAGTTTGTAAAAAAAAAATCAAACATAAAATGTGGCCTGTGCTAAAACTGTATTTTTATGTTTTCTTTTTTTCATTGTACAATAGAAATTGTACACTGTAATTTGCCCTGAGAATGCCATGTTTAAGTTTGTTTCCCATAGATGATGTGGTCACTCGTTTTCTCTTTCAAAATCAACAAAACGTCATTTAACCACAACTGTTCAAACTTTTGCCTGCAACTGTGTGTAGTTACATAAGCAGAACTGAAGTAGGAAGGAGCTGAAGGAACTTAAGGCCATCAACTCAGAGTTCTCCAACAAATCAGTTAACCCAAACGTCTGTGTGGTGTGCCACATTGTTAGGAATTTCTGTTCTACCCCATTTTCTCACTCATTCTGTTCTAAAATGTTCTTCCCGTTCACTCTGTTCTAGAATGTTTCTTGACATTCACACTTCTAATGTTCTCCCCATTCATTCTGTTCTAAAATGTTCTTCCCGTTCACTCTGTTCTAGAATGTTCTTGACATTCACACTTCTATAATGTTCTCCCCATTCATTCCGTTCTAAAATGTTCTTCCCATTCACTCTGTTCTAGAATGTTCTTGACATTCACACTTCTAATGTTCCTCCTGTTCACTCTGTTCTAGATTGTTCTTCCCGTTCACTCTATTCTAGAATGTTCTTGACGTTCACACTTCTCATGTTCTCCCCAATCAGTTTGTTCTAAAATGTTCTTCATTGTCACTCTGTTCTACAATGTTCTTGACATTCACACTTCTCAAGTTCTCACCATATAGATAGATAGATAGATAGATAGATAGATAGATAGACAGACAGATAGATAGATAGATCGATAGATAGATGTCCTTCTTGTTCACTTTGTTCTAGAATGTTCTGGCCATTCACACTTCTATAATGTTATCCCCTTTCATTCTAGAATGCTCTACTACTTTATTTACCCTGTTTTAGAGTGTGCTCCCCACTCACTCTATTCTACAATGTTCTCGACATTCACATTTCTATTATGTTCTCTCCATTCACTCCATTGTAGAATGTTCTACCTAATTAACTCTTTTTTAAATTGTTCTCCTCATTCGTGTTTCTATAATGTTCTACCCATTCACTCCAATCTAGAATGTTCTACCTTATTTAATCTGTTCTAGAATGTTCTTCCCGTTTCATCTGTCCTAGAATGTTCTCCACATTCATGTTTCTATAATGTTCTACCCATTTATTCCAATTTAGAATGTTCTACCTTATTTAATATGTTATAGAATGTTATACACACTTACATTTCTTCCAAATTTGTCTTGTCTAGAATGTTCTACCCTATTTACTGTTTTAGAATGTTCTTCCCCATTTATTCTATCCCATAATGTTCTACACACTTATATTTCTATAATGTTCTCCCCATTCACATTTCTGTAATATACTCCCCCATTCACTCTGTTCTAGCATGTTTTTGACATTCACAACACTATAATGTTCTTCCCATTTACTCTGTTATGGAATGGTCTTGACATTCACACTTCTAATGTTCTCCCCTCTCAGTCTGTTCTAAAATGTTCTCCCCAATCAGTCTGTTCTAAAATGTTCTTCCCATTCACTCTGTTCTAGATTGTCCTTCCCATTTACTCTGTCCTAGAATGTTCTCCACATTCACACTTCAATAAAATTCTCCCCCATTCACAGTGGTTCATTTTTGCTGTTACCTCTTATTCTGGAACAGGACAAAGTCACTCTCCAGCATTTGAGAATGTCGGGCCAGTGTGCCGCGGCCTTTAGGGTTTATGGGACTAATTTGTATTTCATATGAGATTATTTTTGTTAAAGTGCCAAATAGTTTAAGCTTGCAAGGGAATGTGCACGTGCACTCGGTGCTGCAGGAGAACATTCATGTTTGTAATTTTCCCGGAATTTTTTGGCAGTTGTGTTCAGTGTCAGCAAGATGATCAATTTGTTATGGCCCAGAGAACAGACTGTTCAGGAATGAGAAGGAAAGCTGTTTTGCTGTTTCTCAGGTCTTGTGTGGGGTTTTCCGGACATATATAGCAGCAGAAAATGCAATCGCATGATTCACCATGATTCACCATGATTCACCATGATTCACCAAATTTCTCTGCATGTCTTTGTAAATGACTCCTATACACTGTCAGAAAAAAGCTATGCTAGTACATTTTTCAATCAACAAGTACCCTCAAATTTACACTCTTAAAAAGATGGTGCTTCAAGGGTTCTTTAGTAAAGAAAATGGTTCTATATGGAACCATGAACACTCAAAGAACCCTTTGCATGGTCAAAGGATTTGTTGCATCATGAATGGGATCCTTGGATTAATGGGAAATGTGCAAAAAAAAAACCCAAAAAGTTCTTCTATTGTTACAGGCTTGACACCATAACGATAGAAGAACCCTTTTGGGTGCATTTTCAAAAAGGTTCTATATAGAATCATCTATAGCATATTCACCATCAGTCTGAAGAACTATTTCATAATGTAATGAACCCCTTAACCATGAAAAGGGTTCTTTGGGTGTTCATGGTTCTGCATAGAACTATTTTCTTTATTAAACAACCCTTGAAGCACCATCTTGTTTAAGTGTGTACAACAAAAAGGAAAAGCCTGGAGACAAGACAGGATATGTGAAGTGAATACAGTTCTAAAAGGATAATTATAGGACAATTATGTTCTCTGACAAGAGGGGCACTGTGACCGTTTAGGGCCTTTTTTCTGAGAGGGTATGTATAGAGTTCATCCAAAAACAACTTGTCCACACTAGCAGTCACAGACTGCTGACAATGTTAGCACTTTAAGTGAAATGATTTCTTTAATCACAAAGCATGATCATGTTTGCTATGTAAAGATGCTAATTAGCTAAAATGTTGGCTTTCATACCAACATTCATCACATTAGTGATGAATTGCATTGGTATATTTGACAAAACTAAACCATTACCCACAAAATCTATGGGCTTGTTATCTAAAGAGAGTTCATCCAAATATGCTAGCTTTCATGCTAACATTCATAGATTGTTATTCATGTTAACATATCGGTAAAATGATTCCTTTAATCACAGATTCTGTATTCTGTCTTGACAAAACCTTGGTAACTTTACTGAGATTGTTTTCTGGAAGGTAATGGAAGAACATTATAATCTTGGAGTCTGTCTTGGATCATTTTGGAGCGCTCATAAGTTGTTAGCCATGTTAAAATTTGGTAAAAATGTTCCCATCACAAAATTTGAATATGCTTGCTATTTAAAGAGAGTTTAAAGAGATATGCCAGCTTTTATGTCATCTCAGCAGTATTGAGGATCCTGTCAATTAATTACAAACTCTATAAGTGCTCACTAAACAGTGTTTATTCAAACATGCTACCTCTCATGTTAAGATTTCTAGATTATTAGCCTGGATAGCATTTTTGGAAATAGATCCCTTTGATTCCAAAATTGACACACTATGTAGAGAGTTCCTAAAAACAAGCTAGATTTAACATTAGCATTCATAATTATTAGCAAAGTTAGCATTTTTGATAAGCCTGTCATTTTAATTATGAAATCTATAAATGCTCATAAATTACTATGTAAAAAGATTTGTTTCAAACATGCTAGCTTTCATACTAGCATTCACAGATTAGTATTTTTGGTGAAATGATTCTATTAATGACAAAATCTGTATAAAACTGCTGTCTATAAAGAGTTAATTCAGGTACACAAGATTCAGGCTAGCTTTCATAGATTGTTAGCCATCTCAAAATATGGGATGAAATGATCAACGGTGGCCTCTTTTCCACTGCAGGGCCGAACGGTTCTGAGCACGGAGAGCAACCGTTCCGGTGGCGTTTCCACGTGGACACGTTTCGACATGGAACGCTTAAAAACAAGCTCAGTCTGTGTTTTTCAGCACGGTCAGCTAACCATACTGTTTAGTGGAATGACATAATGACAGCTATTCAATTAGTTCTCAGTTCATCTTGGTATTATGCCACCACATCCTGCTGCGTTATTTCAAACTTGAAAACAATCAGATTCCCTTCCCTTAAGCTCAGTTCCCTTACACGGAGGGCAAATTAATGATAGATGAAAGCAGTGCATGAATTTAAACCCACCATTCAATAAACGTCAATGCCTCAATTCTAACACTAACAGTAAATATCAAACAGCGCTGATAACCACAAAACAGTAGCTGGTTAGTGTTAGCTTAGCTAGCATTCTGCCAGCTCTACTCACCATAGAACAGCTTCGATTCTGACTAGCAAAAGCTTTACTGACACAAATTTAGATAATAATCCCTCATATCTGAAGCGCAGTGGAGCGGCTGATGTTAGAGGGACAGAAAGCTAAACCTGCTCTCTGGTGTCTGAGGCTGGAGCCTCCTAGCTAAGCTAATGCGAGCTGGCTCCTCTCTCCTAGTTAACCTAGTATAGCTGAAGGCTTCCAAACAAACACCCCAGTGCAGCTTCGATTCGACTAACTGCTCTAGTATCACAAGTATAGATGATTAAACTTATAATAGTGAGAGCAAAGTCGACTGATCGGTATTGGAGCGACAGAGAGCTGAAATCCAACCTGTTCTGCCGTGCTTTAAGCTGTAGCCTGCTAGGCTAAGCTAACATGAGTGTACAGTGTCTCCCGCTGCAGTACGGACTTGGTTCTAGTGAACCGATGATTAAAAACCCATAGGATAAAGATTCATATCTGAGAGCACGAATTCAAATGACTGTGTTGAAGCGACAGAAATAAAAGAAAAAACTTGTTCTGTGGTGCTTTAAGTTGTACCCTGCCAGGCAACGCTAATGCTAATGTAGTTATCAGGCTACAGGTGAAACCCACCACAGTACAGGCTGTTTCAGTATAAGATACTCAAATAACACCAGGATAAAGAAGATGAAAGCACGCCGAGAGAGTGGAGTTGGAGTGACAGTCGGAATCAAACATGTTTTGTGGTGGGTGCTGTTTACGTGGCTATTAGCCTGTTAGCAGTTAGCCCCTCATTTGTGTAGTTTTCTTGGGTGTTCCTAGTTCTGATTTAGTGGTATGACAGGTAGAAAAAGAAACCGTAACCGGTCTCACGAGTCCAGACCAGCACGGAATGGCCCAGAATGGAAAAACTGCCAGTGACTCAATAATGATGCAAATTAAAAATGAATAGGTTCTCAAAGAGCTTTTGTCCAAAATCATAGACTATAAATGTTTCATCATTTTGGTAACATTTTTCTGTACCCTAGCATCAACATGACTCTGCCATATACATGCTGTGGCAGGTGTCATATGCTGTCATTAGTTGTAATAACACATCATGTTCAAATAATCTAAAAGTGTCTTGGTACCATCATATCATTTTATGTTTTATTTTATGCTAATTTTTACTGTATATTCTAGTTAGCCATCATGACCTCAAAAATTATGCATCAATATAATGCAGCAGTGTTCAAGTAAAGCTTTACCCACAAGACAGTCTCGTGTTATTCACGAGACAGAGAAGCCTTTTAGTGATCACATCTAGCGTAAGAGTGACAAACCTCAAAAGTAAGCAGGGCGGGAGAAGCTGGCTGGAGCTGCAGCCAAGAATGAGCTCTGCAGAGAGGTGGTGTGTGGTTTTTATTACTGTTTTTTTTTTTCAGAGATGAGCAAAATGCTGCAGAGATCTTATCTCTGTCCCCAAGGAGAAAGAAGAAAGAGAAGGATGAAGTATGTAATAATGTCTCAATCATTGACGACCCCAAGGCCTAAGCATGTGCTGCAATAAAGTGTACAGTAGATGTTGTACATGACCTGAAACCGCCATCGTAAATAACATGTTACAAACAATAGAACCTACCACTTTCTTGCAGATAAGATGACAGTTGGTGTGGTCAAGCACAGATAGAATCAACACCAAAGCATGTTGCTGACATGCACGGTCACTAATTGAGAACATTTCCTTTTACAACATCCTTTAAGTTCTTGAAGTGTGTATGTTTGTTCTGCTAGCAGTCTGACATTAAACGACAATGCTTTTCTAGACAATTACAGTACAAATTGTGATTGGAAAAGGAACACTGGGTAAAGAAATTGTTGACTTATATTGTTTGGTAGCATTATTGGAAGGCATCCCACATAGGGACTTCACTACACATGCTTAAGCATTAAATAATATATTTATAAAGCAATGTTTGGGTATTTATGTCACAGGTCATTACTTGATGACATAAGTGATGTTAAATTAAGATGGCAGATTTTGTTCTGTTTATAACAGTGTAAGGAAGCATAATTCACAGAAATTATATATGTTGTTTTCAACTAGGCAGGTTCTATTATATAGGAAAGATGTGTCATTAAAGTGTTATAAATTGAGCAAATGTTGTCAAACATTATGTGAACATGCATTATTACTGGACATGATCTCTGCCATAATTGCAAATGACATCTGCCATGACATGTGTATGGCATTGTTATGTCAGTGGTAATATTAGTTAAGGGCCCTCATGACAGTACATATCAATGTTGTATGCAAAATGTGTTATTCAAAGCTTATGCATGTATTATGAAATGCCTTTGTAGAGAGCTTTCAAATACTTTTACTGATTATTTAGAGCTGTCTGTTTAATACAACCATGCTTCCACAATAGTTAAATCATTTAAACCTTATATTTAATTAAAAATAGTACAAAAACAACATAGTAAATTTTAGTGTTTTTTGAAAAATACATGCCCATTTTGAATTTGTTGCCAGCAACATGTTTCAAAAATGTTAGGGCAGGAGCATGTTTACTACCAGGTTCCCTCACCTCTTCTTTTAACAACACTCTGTAAACGTTTGGGAACTTCGGAGACCAGTTGCAGTTTAAAATGCGAAATGTTTTTTGATTCTTGCTTGATACAGGATTTCCATTGTTCAACAGTTCGGGGTCTCCTTTGTCATTTTTATCCTTAAATGATGCACCAAATATTATCAGTAGGTGACAGGTCTGGACTGTAGGCAGGCCAGTTTAGCACCCAGACTCTTACTACAGAGGCATGCTGTTGTAATATATGCAGAATGTGGTTTGGCACTGTCTTGCTGAAATAAGCAAGGCCTTCCCTGAAAAAGACATCTGGATGGCAGCATATGTTCCTCTAAAACCTGTATATATTGTGCAACATTTAAAGTGCCTTCACAGGTGTGCTTTTGAACTGTGCACTTATAACAAGCTAGATGGTTCCTCTCCTCTTTAGCCCAAAAGATACAGCGTCCATGATTTCTAAAAAGAATTAAAAATTTTGATTTGTAGGAGCATAGGACACTTTTTCACTTCACCTTAGTCCATGTTAACCCTTGTGTGGTGTTGATGTGTTTGTTACTCACTGGTCTGGTGGACCCACTACATTATTGTTTTTTAAATCAATACAGCCGTAACAGTTTATGTAAAAATACCAGACGTTTAAAATATCACAAGTGGCCAGCGTAGGGTTCTCCTTTAGCCAGTCAGCAGCCTGTCCATGTTGTCGACCCTCAAACACACACACACACACACACACACACACACACACACAGACACACACACACATATATACAAACACATACACACACAGACACACACAAACTAACAGCAAGCCATGTAGGAGGAGAACAGAGTGAAGGACACAGCACCTCCACACTTTTATTCCCCATGGGTTCACCCCAACACCACATAAATGTGTAGGGGGTGAACAGTGTGAAGGCACTGAAACTGTGTTATTTTATATGTTCTTTACAGAAAATGAGCAAAAGCCAAGGAATCTGAGGTTGAAATAATAATCATTTTTTTCTTTTGGTAAACACTGAAAATGGGTCCCACAGACCCAAACACCACAGAAAGGTTAAATGAGCTAAGGCCCAGAGAAGGCGGCGGTGTTTCTGAATCCTGCTTATATATGATTTCTTCTTTGCATGGTAGAGTTTTAACCTGCATTTGTGGATGCAGGAACAAACTGTGTTCACAGGCAGTGGTTTTCAGAAGTGTTCCAGGGCCCATGCAGTGCACAGAATCATGTCTGTTTTTAATGCAGTGCCGCCTCAAGGCCCGAAGATCACGGCCAGCAAATATTGGCCTTGCCTTGTCCCTTGCATACAACGATTTCTCTGGATTCTCTGAATCATTTAATGTTGTTATGTACCGTAGATGATGAAATCCCCAACTTCCTTGCTTTTTTTACTGTTGAGAAATGTTATTTTTGAATTGCTGCACTCTTTGCCCACACAGTCTTTCTAAAAGACTCTTTTTATACCCAGTCATGTGACTGATCTGTTGCCAATCGACGTAATTAGTTGAGAGATGTTGAACCAGGTGTTAGCATTACACAACTTTACCAGTCTCTTGTTGCCCCTTTGTCTCCACTTTGCTGAAATATGTTGCTGGCATCAAAATCAAAATGGGCATATATTTTTCAAAACACAACCAAATTCCTCACTTTCAACATTTGATATTTTGTGTTTATACAGGGTTGTCCATCATCAGTGTAAAACACTCTGCATTGAGTAATCCATCAAGTTGACTTCTGTATAGTGTGTCTACCATGAATTCGTAAATAAAGGTGCTCACTCCAGAGAGATGCAACTTTTGGTTCCCTAATGAACCTTTCACCCAAAAAGTGAAACTAACCATATTTAAAGGGGAAGTAAGTCAGTGTTTCTGTTGTAATGAGAGAAGTGATGCAGGTTGGTGGTTCTTCTGTACATTCTGTAGGTTATCTACAGTTAATATTGGAAAATATTGGAAGAAAATGGAGAAGAACACTGGCTTTGAAAAAATATTGTGGTGCAGTCTTAGTACAGTACTTTGGATCTAAATGCAAAATTTCATCTGAAATTATTTTGCTTATTGTGTACTATGATATATACCAAAATTGTGAGAAATGCACAAAAGTTATTATACTGTAAGATACATTTTTAGCCATATCACAGACTACTGTGCATAGAAAAATCCTGGAAACACTGCAAGAAATGTAAACATCTTAAATCTAGTCTGTATATCTAAAATTGTTCATAATGAATATGATACGACTACTCAACTTATTTTTGATGTTTACACTTGTTTTCAGTCAATTTCTCCTGGGCAATGTTCTTATTCCATCGCCAGACAGGTTTGCTTGTTTCACGCATTCTTTCCTCTTAAAACAGGTTGCATGATCTTAAAATATTACTAATGCAGTCTCATAGTAGGAAAAAAAGGATGAATTGATGAGATTTAAGATGATTTCACTCCTTGAAATATCCTTTTCTTGCAGTGTAGCAGGGTAGTTATCTTACATTAAAAGACACTGGCATTCACTCTGTCATCTGCATTGCTTTTAAGAAGTAATTACTGTGTCAGTGCTTTACCGTGTCTTTATCTCTGCATCTTAAAGCCCTCGACTCTTCTGAGAAACAGACAAAGAGTAATGAAAATGTCCTACATTACCTGAGTTGACGCTGTGCCTGGCTGCTGAATGGCGTGCAGTATGTAAAGGTAGATGGTTGTTCTTTTCAGTCCTACCAGCTCAAAATTCAAATTCAGTCTATATCCAGTTTGCATATACGCTGACACAAAAAAACTGTGTCTGCTGACACCTCAGATAACAGATGAGTGGTATATGGGTTGTTATGAATCGTAAAGTCTTTTGTACTCTGCAGTCTCACCACAGGCTTAAGAAGTGTCAAAAGCTATGCTTCAATTGACTAAGAGATGACTGAGATACAATTATAGGAAGTGGTCTGCTCTTCTCCACCTATCAATTTATGCAATTTCCCCCAGCAGCCCAATCTATCCATTTCTCATGAACAAGCATTAACAAAGGAAAAAGTGACTGATCTTATCCATTTCCTTATTTCATTTTATCTTGCCACACATGCTCTGCTGCTCTTACATGTACACTGAAGGTTCCCACGTGGTTCTTAATTTGTACGTTGAGCTGGTATATAACTTTTGAAGGTTTCTTCAGGGTCGTATATCTTATTTATAAAGGAACTCTTTAAAGAACCAGACATTGCAGTGTTCTTTAGGGAACCAAAAGTAGCTCTTCTATGGCATCTCTTCAAACCTTAGATTTGAGAGAATGACCAAATTCAGGTTTTTAGATATGAATGCAAAGAGACTGTTGCCATGCAGTGTATGAGGAAGTTGAACATGAAATTGATGGCAAAGTTGATAACATAAGCAAACATCAGTTTGTTCTGAGGCATTAGCTCCATTACGCTCAGTGAAAACACCATAACTGTTTCAGGGCTAAATGTGCTACTCTGGAGTTCAGCTTGATTTTAACTCTGTAGGATAACACCATGTTTATAGAGCAGAAGACCAATGCTGCAAAACTGCAATGCTATTTGCACACATGGTAGCAGCCCTAATCACTAGTGAAGCCCTTTTATAAGAAGGCCCAGGTGCCCTCTGTTGGAACATGAGGATATGGTGAGAGAGGAACTGGGTGATCTCATCTTTAGACAGAAGTACGCGGCAAAAAACATGCTATTATATAGATAATTGACTCAGCCACATTGACCTAATAATTTCTTTGAGCACTTAAACGTGGTACATTGTTAGAAATATGTATGTTAGAAATAAAGATACTCTGCAGCTACATTTCTCATTCATCAAGGTACAAATGTTCCCTCAAAGGTACAACAGTGGTTTTAAGGTCCAACTGTGAACCTTAAATAAGTTAAAACAGAACAATAAAATAAAAAGCCTGGAGACGAGACGCGGTGTGAGGAGTCAACACAACTTACAGTTATGTTCCCTGACTAAAGGTACTGAGATGTACCCTTGAGGGTCCCACCCCAGTGACCAGAGGGGTACTGCCCCAGTGACAGTTTCATACTTTTATTTCTGAGAGTGTAGGGATCTTATTGTGACTCTGTGGTACACTACAAGAACCATACAAGGCCTACTCAAAGTCCTGAAACACTGAGTCTCAGTCTCCATGCTCTGATGTGCAAGAAATTTGCATAACAAATCTACATCAATGCACAATTAGGTATGACTTGCCACTGGACCTGATGCCATCAACTCATTGACATATTTTATGAACCAGAACAAAATAATGGGGTTATTTACCAGTTAACCATGTCTAAAAGTACCATTTTCATAGTACAAACTTGAACCCTGCTGCATAACATTAACACAACCATGCCATAAGCATATCCTTCTGACATATATGACACCTGACATGAAGTGCTTATGGCACAGTTTTTACTCCAGAGCAATTTTCTACAACATTCTATGAAAAATATTGTTTGTGCTCCATTTCTAACCCATTTAATCGCAGCTCTAACATGAAGAATATTACGAAGAACTTTGCCTGAGCTGTGTATGTGGATACTTCAGGTGAAGTGCATACATCTCATAGAACACTGGTTGGGGAACAGCATTGTCATGGAAAAGTCACAAATGGGCTAGTGGGGTTGTGCCCTTTCACACTCACCAAGCCTGAAGATCAAATAAAGAAATTCTACACAAAATTCATTACACATGCTATTAAAACAGCCAGGACTGAGTGGTAAATAAAAAGATTAGGTAACACCATTTCACCTCCTTCAGCTAATCCCAACATTATGTCTAAAACAATATGGAGTTGACATGGTGGAAGAGTCAACTCCTCTCAAAACTCTTAAAGTTAGTCTAAAAATCAAATTACAAATGCTTCCTCACCTAAATGCCCACACACTCACCTCTAACTGCGTTTGTTAGATAAACTCAGATAGACTTGGTTTGTGATACTGTATGACAGGGGTCTTTAATTAAAACTCAGTAAGGTCCAGTCAGAGAAAAATTCCTCAAGCAAAGGTCCAGAACATCATAATATCTAACTTTGATTGAATTATGATTCACTGCCATGTACTGTTTACCAAAGTAGCCTAGTAGCTATGTCAACATCTTATGCAGTGAACAACTGAATGTCAAATCAAATAAAGTACAATTAAATAATTTTTCAACAACATTTACTGTCAGTTTTAGAGCACGCCATGTGAAATAACCTCCCTCTGACTCACTTTCTTCTCTGACTGCTGTTTCTCGTCCCCCTGTGTGCACGTCACTCACTGGAGTCTCAGTGCTCATCGTAATGCACAGACCTGATTGGCTGAGTTGCGTCACGTGTCATATTTACAATGCATATGATAGGTCTGTGAGTCTCCTGGGCTGCTAAACCGGTACTGTAAAGGCTAGAAAAGCCTATTAAACCGATTAAAATAGGACCACCCTGTCAAAATGTAATAATTCTCCATAGTTTATCAGTTAAAGGCCCAGGTCCACATAGGACAGCATCTGGGTCCGGACCGTGGTCCGCCATTTAGTGACCTCTGCTGTAAGACATACTGCTGACTATAAAGGCCAGCAAAAGCAAGGACAAAGGTGGCCACTATTGTTTTTAGCTAACATGCTATATTTAGTCAGAATGCTTTCGCATTTTGTAACACATTCTCCAAAATCACATGAACAGACCTATTTTTCTTATAACCTACCAACAGTAGGGTTTAAAACAAGCTTTTAAAAAACTAGGCATGTGGTACATGGTGCTAATCGGTGGGACATAAGCATCCATTACCTGTTAGCTACATTAGCCTCATAGCTCCAGTGCAAAACTAAAGACATCATCTTGACTGACTCTTTGCATTTGGCATTAAGGAAACACTTTAGGAGGGTTAAATTTATTTTTGGATGGATCATTGTTTAAAAACATGATCCATTACTGCTCTATCTGACTATCTATCTATTGTTCAATTGGTAATATGATCTATGACTGTTTCTGCAGCACATTGTGAGAAAGAAAAGGAAGTGAATGTGGTGTGGGTAGTTCAAAACGAGGAAGCTGATTAAAGTCAACCGCACCATAAACAGGATGCTGGAGTGCTTGTTGATATTGTAGCATCAGCTCTAAAGATGACACTGACAACATGGCGTGCATAAACAAGGACTCAGAAAAAGACGTGTTGAAGACATCATGCCATGTACAGGTGAATGCTCTTTTATTTTCAAACAGGCACTGCAACAGGCAGCAGGAGATGCCCAGCCCTACCCCAACACCGAACACAGGGAGGGGGTAGCATGGGAGGATACAACATGTGAGGAGGGTAGACTCTTCTAACCAACAGTTACACTACAAAGCCCATAATCTCTTTGGATGCAGTTACTGTAATAAACACCAAACCCCAAAACAGCAGCAGCAATATCTTTTTAACTGGGGGTATGTCAAGGCCACACCTCCGAACATCCACGCGCAGCGTGGCGGACACCACACTATAAATGCTGCAGTTATCAATGCAAAGTATAGGGAAGATACACTGATCAGGCATAACATTATAACATTATAACACTCCTTGTTTCTACGCTCATTGTCCATTTTATCAGCTCCACTTACTATATAGGTGCACTTTGTAGTTCTACAATTACAGACTGTAGTCCATCTGTTTCTCTGCATACTTTGTTAGCCCCCTTTTACCCTGTTCTTCAGTGGTCAGGACCCCCATGGACCCTCACAGAGCAGGTACTATTTGGGTGGTGGATCATTCTTAGCACTGCAGTAACACTGACGTGATGGTGGTGTGTTAGTGTGTGTTGCACTGGTCTGAGTGGATCAGACACAGCAGTGCTGCTGGAGTTTTTAAACACCTCAGTGTCACTGCTGGACTGAGAATAGTCCACCAACCAAAAATATCCAGCCAATAGCATCCTGTGGGCAGCATCCTGTGACCACTGATGAAGGACTAGAGGATGACCAACACAAACTGTGCAGCAGCAGATGAGCTATCGTCTCTGACTTTACATCTGCAAGGTGGACTGACAAGGTAGGAGTGTCTAATAGAGTGGACAGTGAGTGGACACAGTGTTTTAAAACTGCAGCAGCACTGCTGTGTCTGATCCACTCAGATCAGCGCAACACACACTAACACACCACCACCACGTCAGTGTTACTGCATTGCTGAGAATGATCCACAAACCCAAATAGTACCTGCTCTGTGAGGGTCCATGGAGGTCCTGAGCACTGAAGAACAGGGTAAAAGGGGGCTAACAAAGTATGCAGAGAAACAGATGGACTACAGTCTGTAACTGTAGAACTACAAAGTGCACCTATATAGTAAGTGGAGCTGATAAAATGGACAATGAGCGTAGAAACAAGGAGGTGGTCATAATGATATGCCTGACTGGTGTATGACATAAATGGTGGGGACGTTTCAGCTGAACTTTCACCTGTCCAGGTAGCTTATCTTCAAGACATGTGCATTAGACCAACACAACAAGGAGGATTAATGGGTTTTGCTTTGTTCCAGTACTGTAAAAGTCATACTTTGCAATAGATAGACTGCTCTAAAAGAACAAAATAAAAGTCTCAAGCTGGGCAAAGGCAGTGAAGAATACCAAATTAAGCTATGTATGCTGCTTAAGTGTAACATACATAAAATATGTAATAAAAAATGTCTATGTATCCAGTACTTTTCAGCCCTGTTGTAGCCATTAAATGTGTTCAGAATTTGAAACTACACTTAAACCTACATATAGTTGGATTTCCATCTAGGATTTCCATTGCTGTAGACAGCATTTGCTTCATTCGTGAGAACTACATATCTCTATGCATGACATTTTGATGGAGCTTGCAGAAAGATTTGGCACAGTGTTTGTTTGTGCAAACTAATCATCAAAGTAATGGGAGCATCTCTGTGGCTTGCTTATCAGTGCGATGCCACAGATGCCATGCTTGATCTCTGGAGCAAACATAACCTACTCCTC